AGATTTTCAAATAGTTGTATCTCGGCCAAATATTGTCCTATTCTATCAAACCATACATCAATGGAAAGCAACTCGAAAAATCGACCCTTATGACTGGTTTTGTGGTCCAGGCAGGGTCACATATAACACAACATAAATACATGAGTGTTTTAAACTCTCTATTTCTTTATCATGAACACTCTTGTTTGTCATTAATTCCATTTTGATAATCTAATTAACTTTCTGATGGGCTCAATATAATATAATATGTACCTGTGAATTGTGGTTCTCATATTTAGCTAAAGCAGTATTTCATATGAAGCAAAACTGTATAGCATAACAATACCTGCTGAAGATCTCAGAGATGCCGTGTTTCCTCTGGCTGAGAGTCAGATCTGCGACAGCAACACTCAACACACCAGGGATGTTGTCTGGGGCGCTCTGACGCCGACTCATCTCATAAGTGTTCCTGGGTTTCAGACTCACGTCAGTGAAGCTCGAGTCATCAGGTCTGTCTGATGTGGAAAAGGTCTCGTCATCGTCCGGACTGAGAGGAGCAGAGTCAGTGTTGAGGAAAGTGCTGGAGGAAAACATCCTGAGAGAGAGACCTTCAGAACAACTTCTGGTATCGTTAAACGCTGAATTCTGGGCATTTGAACAGTCTTCCGAGCGAGTAGTTCTGGCTTCAGCTGCATCTTGAGGTGGAGGCGCAGAAGCAACGGCATCCAAAGCACCACCTCTGGAGCCTGCCAACAGTTCTCCGTTTGCAATCACACAGTTATCTTCTGAATTCAAGTAGCTTCCTGCAGGATGAGATGACTTTGGATCGTCCCGCTCAGTTACTTCATGTGTACCATGGCCTGCATGTCCATTTGGGAGCTTAGTGCCACATGGCTGGGTACTGGTCTTATCACATGACTCTGGCACCTCGTGGTCCTGGCTGCTGTGCAATTGGCCTTTCTCTCCCTGCGTCGTTCCAGTTTGGGAGAACATGCCTTGCATTATGTTCTCCTGGCTGTCTATAACATCTGCGATGCGTGGAGGTGGTCTACCTTCCTCAGCCCCCCTGCCTCGAGAGGAAGATGACTCCACCATCAGCTTCACAGGTGAATTTACAGAATACCC